ACTTGAACGAATAATTCATTGTAACTTTGAAGCTATCAATCAACACCATTACCATTAATTTAACAATGAGAAAAGTCTTATCAAGAGCGAACTGTGATTTTAAATGATTTCTCGTTATTCACCGTCAAAATTGTAAGGTGTCCATTTATGAAGAATTTATTAGAAAAACTGAATTTCAAGTTATGCCAGCATCCCCCAGATAATCTTGAAATCTTGATCCAAGAATATAATGAATGTGCGTCCGTAGACTTTCATTTAAAAATTTTTCGCAGTCCGTTTGGAGGGAATAAAAACATAAATATTATACATTAACTTCATCCACCTGTGCATGATAAAAAAGTAATATTAATTCTCCAGCTAATAGTATATGTACACATACTGAGGAAACAATTTTTATTTAAAATCTACAATATTTTACCGAATTACGTTAAAAATTATAAAGATTTTGCTTAAATTGTACGATTATGAATTCTGTATAATGCAAGTGCCAGCTCCACCGTGAAAAATGCTCGGCTCAACATCTGCTTTATTTACTTCTTCCTCTATTTTTTATTCATGTGCCATTCACACATTCGCCAATAGCGCAGGTTTTTCGGGTAGCTCTCACGAGTCAATTCCACGAATGCACTCATTGAAAAAAATACGGTTGAATTTTTTCAAGTTCGTATTATAAGTGCACTCGACAATTATATGGCGTTGGGTGCGAATTACGCATGGTCCGTGCATAATGTACGCGTTATAAAATAATAAATGAAATTTTTTTTATCAGAAGTTACCATTACCACTAGCGTTTTACTGAGCAAGTTTCAACGTATGGAACCATAATTCTCACTTCTCACACAATTTTTTCATAAGTTTTTAATGCACTACAGATTTAATATGCATACGAATACTCTGCAAAAAAAATTTTTTTTTTTCAAGGATAATGTATATGTCTGTTGGACAACAGACTTCCATGAAATTTTGGTGGCTAATTTTTGAGACAATCTCTTAAACCTTCATATTTAATGAATTTCATGGCTCATTGTTTGTGTGTTGCGAACGTATATTGACATTTTTATCCGTGATTACTCATAGTCAGCATAATGCTTTGATGATTCATAGTGATAAGCAAAACCATCGCGTACCCACGTAAAAGATTTTCTTTTAAGGAGTCGTGGATTCAAATACCTCCAAAAAAATTTATAAGTTTTTTTTCACATTTTTTCCCGGGATGCCGCAAGCTTAATTATCAAAAGATCCATCAACAAATAAATGTGTAAAAATAAAACAAAGTGCAATACTACTTATACCTAATTTGCGTAAAAAGTATATTATTATTGAAGAGCATCGATAGAGTTCGAGCAAAAGTTTGCATAAGCTACTAGATTTACAGAAATATGTTAAATTAAGCTGTCCCATTAATACTAACTGGCAGTGATTTTAAAATTACCTAAAATTATCTTTACACGAGTAAAAAAAAAAAAAAAAAAAAAAGAATGAAAATACAAGTCATGCCTATCCCCTGAAAATCATCTGTCTACCTTTCCTCATTTTCACCTCTTTTCCAACGCCCGATCTTCAAACACCCAAACGCACTCATACCAACAAAATCCCTTTTCTTTTTCCTCTCTTCTTTCCAGCACCAGAATCCATTTTCGCGCGGGCTGGCTGCTGCTCCACAGGCTCCACTGATAAATCTGCTGCCCCTCCCCTCTTTACTCTGCCCCTTCCTTCGCACGCTCGCGCCGGCGTCGCGGCAATTTGTCATGATTTAAGCACGAGATTACGCCACCGAGCATTTATTATGCGCTCACTTGCGCGCGCAAAGCACACGCCTTCTGCCCTGGCTACGGGGGATGCCGTGAGAGGCTCTTACAAGGACTTCATTAGAACGGGAAACAATGCCCTTGTTTTTTTGCTCTGATTCCTTCTTGTTTTTTTTTTTTTTTTTTTTTTTTTGTGAAAAGAGAATCACGTTTTTAGCCATGTAAATGTCTTTCGTTGATTGATCGGTGCAAGGGAATGGTTTTCGATTTTTTCGCGAAGTCTTCGGACCAACATGTGCTGTACGAGAATTTCTAGGGTATTCGTGAATCATGCGATTGCGATGGAATTTGTCACCCAGTCGGGGTCTGTATACTTCATGAGCACTGTTCCATGGAACAAAGAGTCCGATTATCCTGAATCATTAACGATACTCAAACTGAGTTTAAAAATGTTAGAGGACTACACGTTGAACGGAATTATGTGGGACAACTGGACACAAATAGACGCTGTTTTTCTAATGATCGTGCAATTTTTATTTTTATTTATTAACTATTCAATCAACATGAACTGATGGAATGAATCTCTTGTGGTTGATGAATGATTTCCTTGTAAAAGGTCGATATTTCTGGTTACCGTTTGTGGCAAATCACTATTTCATGAACCTATATTAAGTTAACAAGTAGATGGTTTGGAAGAAAAACGTACTTACTCGAGTTTGGGTATAAAAAATTTACTATCTTAATATAGGTTTTAAAAAATCAGTATTTTTAAAAAAAAAAAGTAGCTCAATGGTAAATGCTTTTGTTTAGCTGAACATTATTAAGATAGTCTGATAAATCATCGACCAACAAAATATTATATTACAACATGGTATTTACAAAATCAAGTTTTGCGTTATACTTACATAACATGATTTAGTAAGAATAAAGTACTCTGTTGAAGCTACATTCTAGTTATAAGCTTTTATCTGAAAACATAATTAAATCTGACTAAAATATGAAACGTTTTCCTATTTGGGATATTTTTTTTAAACGTGGGACGGTTGGAGAAATAATAGGGCTAGCACCTGGTGCACATTAACCCAAGGTAATAATAAGAGTATAGATAAAAAATCTAAGGTCTTGTTTTATTACAATGTTTTAAAACTATATGTAGAGTAGTATATTAAAGAGAACCTCGTTACCAGAATAAAATCAATACTATTTTCGTGTAGTACTCAAAACAGTTCGCACCTTTTACTCGCATAATTAAGGTTTGACCACAAAGCCGAGATAGTACCTCCTTCTCCCAACATCAAGACCATGCTTACGTTGACTCCGAGCTGAAGTAGTTCCTTGTTTTTCCTAAACGTAACGATTTACACCTTAGATATCTTCCCTTTCCACAAAAAAATCCACGGTCATTTTTTAAATCCTAAGTGTCTGTTTTAACTAGAGCATCCATTCGTAAAGATTTGGTCATATTCAAATCCAGCTTCATCGATAGCTGAGGACAAAAATTTCTGAAGAGATGTCAAAAATCATGAGAGATGGATACGTGGGTTAACTGAAAGTGAAAAATAAGGTTGTTGCAGCCACCAATATTCCACCCCTTCTTATCGTCCTGCCTTATTATTTCATACTCTTTTTCAGCCAAAAACGAATACTTTCATCCGAGGCACGGAAGTTCTTCACCCACCGTTGCCTGCACCATCTTCTTCTCATTTAACCCAGCCTCCCTTTCTTCCCAGCCCAGTGGCTTTTTTCCTCCTCCCCTCGCAGCTCTTCAATGTAAATGTAATCTCGCTGTTTATCTTTTCCGGGACATTCGGCTTCCTATGTTTTCTCAGTCACCGTCCTCGACTCCTTTCTTCCTCCCAGCCTCTGTTATGCTCATTTTCACGGTTCCCGTTTTATCTCGCGCCATCCCTTTCCTCCTTCCGTTGGCCTCTTGCACACTTCTGGGGTGCAAATTTATTCAGATTCTCGTTTGCCCCTCTAATCTCGCTCTCCTTTTTTCCATACCTCTGCTCTACCAAATGAAAAGCCAAGCGTCGTTAAACATTGCGACCCCAAACTTTTCTTTGTTTTTACCTTTTTCTGGCGTTATATGTATTCAATTACAGAACAGCAACCGCTAAAAATGGCCCAAAATTTTTCTCCATCGGAGAGAGCTTTTGGATAATATGATACTATAAACGGGCCACTTGTTTCATACGAGACAGAATAGAATTCAAATTTAACACTAAAATTTTTGGATAGCAGCATATAAAAAGATTCGTCGATCTATGAGAAAACTTAAGAAAATCGATGCTCAAGCTAAACCTCAATCCAAGCCTGATTTTCAATTCATAAAATTTGAAAACTCCACCGCCCTTCCGTCCTCTAGCTTACATTTCCGTTTGTATTCGGATATCGAAATCTCTGTCGTTACCTGCGTCAAAATGCACGGGATGGCAGTCTGCAGTTGAATTGAAAATAATCTTTTTGATACCACTACTAGTTTGCCCGAATGCGATAAACATATCTACGGGAACGTACAAGGGATTAGTCAGTGAGGCACGTAGCCTAAGGACAGCATTTTCCACTTCACGAAAGAAGTAGAAGAAGCAGCCTTAGTGCTCGGTTCGGGTGCCGAGAAAATCACGTATTTGGGAGGGAAGGAGACACCAACTCTCGCGCGACGCGGAGCCTCGGGCGCAAATGAGGGCTCGAGACAACTGTCTCCCCACGTATGCGCGCTGGTGGCAAAGCTCATGTAATCTCTCTCACTCTCGCTATGAGAGGATGAAAGCTGTGCACGAGACGCATGGTTGGGGGTGGTTCTTGACTTTGGCAGCTCGGAGAAAAAGTCCCAACCACTTGGCCGTCTGGTGAGCACGGAATCTCATGTCTTCTTACTCTTGTTTGTCGGAGCACTTTTGGCCTGACTTTTCCACCGATGTATCAGTCAACTCTGTCTGAGTTTCGAGTTTTCCGATTTTTCCTTGCATCTATTTCTTTTTTTTTCTTTCTCTCGTTTTATCATCCCCCCGATAAAATTATCAAGTGCATGCATCTAAATTAAGGACTTAAGATTAGAGTAAAAAGTTATCATACATATTTTTGCAAGTCTAAACATTATAAAGGCAATAATTACAATGAAATAAGCTCAAATTACCATATTTCGTGCGTACAGAATAAATGATTACTCGTTATAAATTGAATAACTATAAAACTGATGATGAGTGTACGTAATTGATAACCTTTCATGTACTTTTCTTTCTGTTGCAGGGACTACTACTACGACAGGTAAGTGACAGCAGAATTCCTACAGCAGCTGATAACCCACAGGTTACGTATACTGTTAATTGACATTCGCCTCATTGCCCAAACACTGATGACCCTTGCTCCTAAAATCTTACTACGATCTACACACCAAAAGAACTAACGCTACATCCCTTTGCTGGCCAAAAAAGCAAATCGAAACAACAGCGACGGAGACGAGGCAAAACAACGAAAACAGCCACAACTGAGCTAATCCCTCGAGCTGCTCATAATTCAATAAACTTAGCGTGTACTCTCTCGCATAATCGTTTCCGGAACGCTGGTGCAAAGTTTCCCTTAGCTATGAAGCCGACTGAAATCTTCCCCTTCCATTTTCCCGGAAATTCGCCTCCACGGGACGGGGACCAACTATTCCGTGCTTCTGTGGATGGAAAAGCTACGCTGGGTGGAAGTGTATTCGTAACGATTGGGATATCCGATCTTTGGGAATCGGCAAACGCGACTGGGCTTACATAAGGGCAGTTACGGGGATTCGATTGGAAATTGGTTGCCGGGGATGAAAGTGCCAAACATCGCGTTTCATGAAACAAAAAATTTTAATTGTTTCTCAATGTTCTCTGTACTTTTGCAAATGGACCGCGTATTCGACGGTTGCATACGTGTGCAGTGAAATAGGTGATATCGCTTCATTTAAGGTTAAATTGCATGTTAAAGAGGGACAGCAGAATGAGTAAAAAAAATCAAGCTCCCGTCGATGCCAAGAGTTGCTGGTATATGTATGCGTTCTATCGTTGAAACACCGGGATATAGGGTGGAAGGGAAAAACAACCGATGAACATTTGTAAAGCCGGGCTCGACAAATCTGCAGTATCCTTTTACCATTTCTTGGTCCAACTTTCTTTTTTTTTTTTTTTTTTCTACCTCTATTGCAAGTCAAAGATGCGTGACAACGACAATGACAATGTTACTATAGGCAAGAAAAGAAAACGAAGAAGATCGAAAAAAAATAGAAGCACAGAAAGGGTCTACGTACGTACGCACTTGCTAGTCATTGAGAATTCAATCAAGTTTAATCGTCGAATTCTTGGGCGAATGTGGACGAGGACTCGATCGAATAGACGCACACTTGACACTGTGATTCCGTGTAAGGGTGCACGTGGTTCGAGGGAGATAATACAGTGCCTATGGTCTTTCCTGTGGGTTTTTTCTTTCCTCCTCCTTTTACGTTTGATGTGTTTTTGCATTTTATTGTCATGGTCTTCGGACGATAAATGCGACAGAGTCCGAAACTTCTTCAGCTTTAGATTTTTTTTCTCGATCCCCCTCCGTGAGGTTTTCATTGATAATAATCACTGCACTTTACTTCTCGTGTTTTTGTTTGTACGCACTTCAACATCGACTTGATAGAAATTCTTATCAAGTATAAATGTTTTTTATATCATGAAATGACCAACTATTGTATTCAAATTGAGCACAATACTTTAGTAAATGTTTTTGTTTTTTTTTCTCCTTTTTATCTAACATTTTCATTGCCTCTTCTTTCGTCACTCTATACGCTAAAGAAATTAAAAAAAAAAATTCCGTATCAAAATTATAGGCTTGAGATTACCCACTGTAAGGGAAGTTCTCACCATTTGGAACAACAATTTTTACCATATTCTTTCAGTGATGTTCAGTACCCACGTAGGTGAAAACAACAGAAGAAATGGCAAAAATCCTCTGAAAGTTAAAGTATCACCAATCTATGGTTTCAGAACAGAAATTTTTACTTTTGACTCCTCTCAACGCGAGTACATTCGAAATATCCCCAATATGCATTCTCGCTCTCTTTTTTTATCCTCTTCATTTTCTGTTTCTCTCTATTGGTCGAGACTCTCTAGACCAAGGCAGGCACATTACAATCCAGAAGAAGGAAAAGGAAAAACAATTGCCTAGGCAAGTCACGTAGTCACCTCCTGAATTGCGACAATTAAAGCAAAAGGAGCGACGGATTTTCAAGAGAGAGACACTATATACACCTGAGCTGCATTGCGCATGCATACTCAATTATCCCCGAATTCGTGTGCGAGTCCGATGCCTATTTTCTCTTTTCCTCCTTTTTTTGCTGCACTGTCTGTTTTTTCCTCGGCGTGCCTTCTTCGTTTAAACCTCGTTTTATTTATTTGGCCTTCTTTTTTCATTTTATTACAAACCGCGATTTTGCTTTATTTACTTTTATTTTTGCCACGCTGCAACACAAGTTCCACATTGCTTTTGTGTTCGCGGTCAGGTCTCACAAATATTTGATGATTTTCCGCTTCCTTTGATCAGCTCGAGTACCTCAAGTTAGGGGTCTTTGTGCGTTTGCTAATCAAATTTTCTTTGTTGTTTCCTCAAAAATTAAGCAGGAAATGAGACTTTTGAGCTATTGAAAAAGGTGAGCCTTCCATAGAGAGAACGCTTTGAAAGGTTACATTCTTATGGTTACGAAACTCGCAACAACTCTGGCTTTATGATATTTTATTGTACGACAATTTAAAACAACGTGACGCACGCACAATAAAAATTCAAGATTCTGTTCTAATTTTCAAGACTATCTGAGCAACAGGACACGTGATAAATACCATGGCAAACAATTGATGTTTATTTCTGAGTTTTATGAAACTACAAGCATTAATTAGCCAGCACGAAACATTCTTAGCCTTAGTATAGGTGATTTTATTGAATACTCCTTTGATTTACCGATTCTTAAGTCAAACGATGTCAGCAATTGTTTTACCGAAGATTTAATTACCATTATGCTTGAAATTAAAAAAATATTGATGATATTCTATGAATAGGTGTTAAATAATTGTATCAAACCTGATGCACCTATATAGAAATCAATGTAGGTCATCAGGGACCAAATTTGACAATTTTTCTTGACTTGAGACCCAACTCGACATCAGCCCGTAACACTAAATCAGAAATATTCACGTGTTAAACGTTTTTTCCAGTAAATGTAGAAAAGCTCGATTTTTGGTGCACACATCCATAAAACCATCGATAGGTACAGGGTGGCAAGTAGTTCATCTTCCCGAGCTCTCTACACGCAAGCCTGTCTCGCAGAGGTGGTGGCAGAGCAGTTCCGGCAGTGCGTCGCGTTAATCAGGGAAATCCAACCTCCTCCCTCCACCTCCTCCCAAACAATGACGTCGTTTTGTGATCCAAGGGACTACGCGATTCTAACTGCACGGCTTCTGCCCCCTACCCCTCGTCTCACCCAATAATCCCGCAGAGAGACAAGCATTAAGCGGAGGGATCGTGGAATCGAGCCGGCAACTATATTGGCACTCTGATGTACATACGTACGGGTGATGTGGCCAGAGCTCCGGTGTTGCGTTGATTAGCATAAACATCGCCGATTTCGTGCCGGCTGAGTTACGGTGCCTTGAGGCATACTGGGTGGACTATACGTGTGTGCGTGGGGGGCACTTAGGGCAGGGCGGAATTAATTTGTACATGAGTGTTTGTTACTGGTAAAAAGTAATTTTCTTTGGTTGTTTTTTTTTCTTTTTTTTTTTTGCTTCAAATCTTTTTTGTGAAAAAGTATGATAACAGTTGGATATGAGGCTGCCAAAAATGTATGAAAACCCCTTTTTTTTTACATTTGATGACGAGATAAACATCATTCAAATGGAGCCACATTTGTGGCAAAAGTAGTTGGTTAATTTTAATTTCCATTTAGATTAAAAACTTCCAAGATGATACTCGCTTCGTGTTAGTGGGGACTATGACTATTTTTTCGTGATAACGTCATGCCCTGATTGTACCATAAAATTGTTACAACCAGTGAATTTTAACAGAGTTCTAGACGACGTACAATTAAGATGTGTAAAAAGTTGCTAACCACGCTATGAATGGGGTATTGCGTGGCACCCTGGTCGTGTTTATTTCATAACCAGCTCTTGATTGCAAGCTCAATCTCTTGGGATTAATCGTCGCGAGCCTGCACAAAAATAAAGACGCAACCAATCATGAATTTTTTTAAACTCAACGAAAAGAGTGGCTCTAGACCATTACCCTCAATATTCATTCGACATACATCCCCAAGCACGTCGTTACAACTTGATCAATATATTGCACACTTGAGAACCAACAGCTTTCTGACGTGTACCATATACTTGTTTGCTCGTGTTATATTTTTTTTTCAAGTACAGAGAACACAACAACATGCAGTCTATAAAAGTTGGCTATTTGTATTTTGTATATGAGCCATTTTTCATTAGTCGTAGTACGAAGACGAAGGAAAAATGTTAATTTATGCCTAAAATATACGAAGAGCTTGAAATTGCAAAAAGATCAATCATGAACTATTTTATGAAGTGACGACATACATGCACAATACACATTTCTCAAATCCATCTGAATGATTGACCAAGTTAAATGGCTCCGTTTGAAAATTACAAATAAAAACAAAAAAAAGAGAAATATGAACATGAGAAAAGAGCCAGAAAAGTGACCCCTTTGCGTTGCGGCTCTTGTTATTTAAAACTCGACGGAAAACGGGAGATGGGGCAACAGTGTCGGAATAATTAGAAGCCAAACCGAGTTTTCCCTCAGCCCCTCTTTCTCGTGTCTGGTCCCTCCAGACCCCTACACATCGCGGTACAACGCGGCGCTGCGTGGCAAGCCTACTTCGAGCGGAGGGCGAGACGGGAGTGAACGCGGCCGCGTATCGGATAACTCTCGTCGTGCCCTCTAATTTCGAATGACGTTTGTATACGCTGGAGAAAAGGAGGAGGAGAAGGTGGCGACTGCACGGCAGGCGTGTCCAAATGAGAGCTGCTGCCCCCGGTGGTGGTCTACGTGTCTCTTGGGCGCAATGTCGTCGTCGTCGTCGTCGTTATTGGGCAACTTGAAGCTATACACTGCTGGGCACGGATACTTGACACCTACTCTCTCCCCCCCCTCCTGCCTCCTTTCGAGCTAGCTAATTATTCGCATGTGATTATTAGAGGGCACTCGGCTTGTTACTTTGTATAGAAAAGTATGGGGGTAAGGTG